AAGCAAAGTCAAAACCGTGTGCCAAAGCAAAATGCAAAGGCAAGGGCAAAGGAAAAGGCAAAGGCCGTGGAAAAGGCAATGGGTTTGGAAGAGGCACAGCTTTGGGCTTGCAAGGGCTGGCTCGCAGGCAAGCAGCGTCACGAAAACGCAAGGAGCAGGTGCTCGAACAAATGCCCGGACCAGCAGTGGAAGAAGATCCAGATATCGCTGAACTCAAAGAGGAGTTGGAAAGCCAGCTGTTGGACATGAATGTCATGGACGATCGAACAAATCCTGATTCATTGCCGGCAGAGCCTTGTGTCCATGCTCCCAGTCCAAGAGAGCCCGCCCCCTCACCGGAGCCTTGCGCCCATCCTCCCAGTCCACACACTGGTGAAGGAGAGCCCGCCCCCCCGGCGGAGGAGCCCTGTGTCGATGCTTCCCGTCCACACTCTGTGCTTGGTGGTGCCGGGGTCGCACACGAGGAAACAAAAGTGCAAGCACAGCCATCCAATGGGACCTTGCCGGATCCAATATCCGGGCCAAGGGACAGTGGAATGGCACAGGCCTCGTCCTCGAGCGGATCAGCCCCTGAGCAGGTCCTTGATGATGCTGCACATCGTGGCCAGGCATCGCAACGTGCTCCGCGCGAGCATGGTCCACACTTGAATAACACTCCCGACTTCCTGTCGGAGTTGGATCCACCCGAAGACTTCAAGTTGCGTCTCAGCTTCAACGATCATCGCTTCAAAGCCGAGATCATGACAAAACAGTATGTGTCAAGTGAGGGGAAAAAGTCTTGCAGCAAAAGCTTTGCTAACGACAGATCAGACTGGAAGCAAGCACTGGCTCAAGTGCATCGCTGGGCGTGGACAGAGTGGGAGAAGGCCAAACCTGAAAGGCAACTGCCGCCTCATTGTCAGCCTGGCACTATCCCTGAGGCTGTCCTGGAACGCCTTGCCCCGATTATCGACGCAATGCCTCCGCCCACAAAGTATGCCAAGTAGCCTCTTCAGTTTTTTTTGGTGATAAACACATCACAGGGGAAAACATGTCAGCAGGTTGCAGATTTCTGTCAATGTCATGTATGCAAGTATCGTGTTCTTAGCTTCAAGTCTTCGGTCGATTCAAGAAGTCACAGGGAGTGAGTTCATCCAGCCGAGTCCAATGTGTGTGAATCTGCTCCTGCTGTCATAGCGGCAACATGTTCGATTCACAATTTTGGCTTCAGCTTGTGCGCAGTTGCTGTTCATTCTGTGATTGAGTCTTTACAGTTACGTTGCAATTACAGTTGCTGAATGCCTGAAGTGTGCAATTGAAGATGACATGACATGAATCATGAAGTCTCACCATAGTTATGCTGCAGATTGCTCGGGGAGAAAGCGATCAGCAAAAACAAGCCTTCCTGACATTGTGTCCTGTTAGTTTGTGGAATGTGCTTGATATGCCAGGCAAGCATTGAATCCATTTGTTGCTCAAGTTGGACCAGAGGTATGGTTTAAAGTTATGTGGGACAACAAATCAATGTATTGATGTCAGTGAATCACCAACATGTCCAATTTCCAGTGGCCGTGCCAGCATGTGCTGGGATCATCGCTGGTCTTCAGTGGTAGTGCTGGGCCTGTGAAGCCAGCACGCAAGAAATGCAAAAGGAAAAAGAATGCTGCAGAGTCATTTGAGTTGGGAGGTAGATCAGTGGAGCGCCCGTGTACTCTTCCTGCCTTGAATTTTACCGATACAGTTACAGGAACTGATGAAATTGATGATCGGTTTGACACTTGGGTAGAGGACGTCTTCGAGCAAACATCGCGATTGCAATGTTCGCATTTCCTTCCGTTTGCTTCCTTGTCTTTCTCCCCAAGGCCGGAGTCTGTTCAAGGTGTTATGGGTCACAGATTTTGTTATAATATGAATTTTTCATTAATGTAATACTACATAAACTTATCATCATCCTCAATTGATCTTGCTGGCCAGGTCCACAGAGCCTTGGTGTCACAGGCTCATGGTTGCAAGGATTTTGGTGCAAAATTTCTTGCGCTACGACCAGGACTTCAATGTGGGCAGAGTGGCCATGAAATGGCATGGGCTGATTGGATTGGCTTATCCCGCATTGAAGAACCGAACCATCGAGTGTCAGCTGATGTGCATCATTAGCCGTAGCTATGACAACAGAGCCAAGATTGAAGCAGCTTCAATCGATGTGGGACCCCATCAATGTGCGGGGTTGCTGCAATACATTGAATACTATGCAGGGAGCGCCAAACTTTCGAAGAAATTGATCGAATCCGGTCTCCGTGGGTGCAGCTTTGACATACTCTACAATGACGAACACAACATGTTGCTAGCGAAAGGGTTGCGTTTGTTTCTGGATGCAGCCACAGCGTGTGAGAAGAAGGCTTTGCATTGGTGGGGCACTCCGTGCTCTTCTTTTGTCATTATGTGCTCATTTCGTTCCCAACGTGCTGAAAGCAACGGCTGGGAAGGCGCATGGACTGAGCGGGACTTTGTATTGCAGGGAAATTGTCAGGCCCTTGTTTGCTCACTTGGGATTTTCCTGGGATGGGCATGTGAGTGCTGCCCTGTGGTGGAACAGCCCCTCAGCTCCTGTATGCCGCACCTCGAGTGTGTCAAAACAGTTCTATCCTTTTGTGGCTTCGAAAAGACTTGCACCTACATGGGTGCCTTTAACGGAAAGTCAGTGAAGCCCTTGCAACTGTGGCATTTGCCTGGGTTTCATTTTGAGAACCTGGCCAGGCCCAAACCAGATCATAATGCTTTCATTGGTCTGGTAAACCGAGGCGAAGACGGCCGTTTCACCGGTGTGCCAGCAGATGTACAGGCTAGTGGGGAATACACTTCGATGTTCGGGGAAGCAGTTGCGCAGATTGTCCGGAATCTATTGTGACGATCCGCTTCGTCAGCCAAAATACGTTTCATAGCTTACTGAGCTGCATGCTTTTTATTATTCAAGCCAATCTGCTGTGACTGGTTTTTGGGGTGTGAATGCTGTGACACAACAGCAACAGCAGGCCATGCAGCAACACAGGTAAAACAGTGCGATGACTGATGAGAAGGTTGCATAACAATTGAGACACAAGTCTGATTTGCTTGCAGCCTTATGTCGATGTGGCTGTCTCAGTGAACACACTTGGAGGAACAGAATTGATATGGCTCTTTCAGTGAACACACTTGAGGAGGATTCCTCAAGATTTCCTCAATTCGAATCGTCAACCTTGCCAAGCAATGCCATGCTGACTCAAGATTTCCTCAACCTTGCAGCAACCTGTTTAAGTTGACAGGTTGTTCTGAGCAGTGTGAGGAAACAATAGATGCCATCCACTGTGACCTTGCCCGATGTGCCCATGTCGGTGCAAGGGGTCAGTGGCATGGCACAAGTGAACACACTTGAGGAACAATTTCTTGTTGACAATTTGGGAGTCACACCTTTGCAGCTTCTGCCGGCTCTTGCACAGACGTCCTCAGCCTTGCGAAAACCTGTTGGTGTTGCCGGGCTCTCACCCGAAGAGCCATCAAGTTTCCTTGCTTGGGGACACAAAGGCCAGCCATCTAGTGTGACCTTGCCCGACGTGCCAATGTCGGTGCAAGGGGTCACTGGAATGGCACAGCTTCCGGTTGCTCTGTTCACACACCGGCTTGGACAGAAATAATACTACATTTTTTCATGGTTTTCTCAACAATTTTCAGTGTCTGCAAATCTCCAGTTACATTAATTCTGGACAAACCTACCGTGTCGTAACGTATCCAATAAGTCTTTGTTCAGGTTGACTTCTGATTTTGATAACTTTGGTTTTTGCCAAGCCCACTGATCCAGCCCCCGCGGATCCAACCCTACAAACGAGCATATTGAGAAGGATGTGTTGCCGCTTCCGTTGCCCGGAAGCCTGGCAAGCCCGTAGCAAGGCAGTGACTTGCAGTGCAGACGGCAGAGTTCTCGAGTGCCTTGCTCCCCCTTTCCGGGAAACCACCGGCCCTGTGACAAGGTGTGGCGGGGGTTCGGTGGGCTCCGCGTGTGAGGCCGTGCGGTGTCAGCGGTGTAGGCTGACAGGGTAGCGGGGCTGATATGGCAGTTCAGAGTAGGAGCGTTGCTTGTGTTGTGTGTCAAACCTAGAGTGCCTCGCAAGGTCTCTACTGCTCTACGACGTGGATCTTTGCCGAAGCCGGGTGTTCGGGCTTGAGGGGCTCCGAGGCAGGCAGTGTCTGTGCTCCACTGTGCCCAACCGACCATGTACATCTGCCCTGTGCTTCTGAGTGGACAGACGCCTCAGGCAGTTCCGCGACTGACCCTTTGAGTGCTTCTTTCCCTGCTTCTCAAGAACCTTCACTCCCGGTTTTGGTGCCTTCACTCACGTTTTTGGTGCCTTCACTCCCGTTTTTGGTGTCACCCTGTTTTTTTGGTGCTTTCGCATCGTTTTGATGCCTGGGCAGCCATGGTTCAGCATCCAACAAGTCGTTGAGGCAGGTTGTGCAGGTTGTGCAGTTGGCGGCTGGCTTGGCTCATGGGTGCCCTTTTTGGACGAGGCTTTCTGGTATCGTGCGCAGCTTTGTGAACATGAGCGTGCGAGCATGCTGTTGGCAGGTGCGGGCTGCGGTCCACCCTCCAACAGTGGATGAGGCCGTTGTGCAGCTGTTGTTCTCGCGGGTTTGCATTGCAACTTGCCGGTGGAGCATACCTCCGTTGCCACTTTGCAGCGCAGTGCTTTGGTTCAAATTCTGGAGAGATTCGTAATGCCAAAGAAGCGCCCCGCCGCTGCAGAGTCGGAGGACGGCGTCGATACAGTAGGAGTTTCCTGGACAGTTGCTGGAAGCCTGTTCTCCTGCAGGCGCCGGCGCCAAAAATTGCAAAAGAGGCACGGCCGGGTATGCTGTGCAGGATTTCAGATCGAAGCTTGTTTTCTTATCGGATGTTGCAGGATGTGGTGTGGCAGCTGCAACTCGCGTTGGCCCAGCAAGAGACTGCACAGGCACAGGTGGGCACTGCACAGGCACAGGTGGACATGGCTATGAAGAAGTGGGAGGTCGCGGAGCAAGTAGGCGATGAGGAGAAGGTCAAGGAGGCGAAGCAGGAGGTCAAGGAGGCGGAGCAGAAGGTCAAGGAGGCGAAGCAGGAGGTCAAGGAGGCGAAGCAGGAGGTCAAGGAGGCGGAGCAGAAGGTCAAGGAGGCGGAGCAGAAGGTCAAGGAGGCGGAGCAGAAGGTCGAGAAGGCCAAGCAGCAGGTCAAGGAGATGGTGCAGAAGGTCGAGGCCAGGCCGGGGCCTTGTTCGCTGTCATGCACTGTCCGTTGCTTTGCTTTTGTGTTGGGCAGATTGGGGTTCGGAGGCACCAAGGAGGTTCTTTCGTTTGGCTTAGCTTTGGAGGGCCTAAGTTCTTGCGTTTTCTCGCATGCCCCGGACTTGTGTCTTCTCTACCTGCTTGATCAACTCATTCCGAGAAGGTCGCTTCCAAAGACTTCGACATAGCAGCGTGTACGCGGCCTCCGATCAAAGTCCGACCGAGCCACTTCGTGCAACTTGCCCCTTGTGTGTCAGCCTGCATCGAGGCTGTGAACAAGCGCTTGCCAGAGCAGACAGAGGCTACCAGTGTGCGAGTTCCCCCGGCGGTGCTCTCCCGGTGCATGCGCGGGGGCAAGACCACAGTGCTGATGCACGTCTTCGACGAGCTGAAAGAGAAGTCCAAGAACCCTATTTTCATAAGCTTTAATGGGGACTCGCTTATCCGGCAGCTCGAGAACGAAAGCTGCCTGGAAACGATGCTGAGGGCCATCGCCGTTGCACTGCTGACAACGAAGCCCGCGAAGCGTGATGAGACTGCGCGAATTCTCTGTAGGCAGAATGTCTTGGAGGAGTACCTGAAGGACAAGAAGGATGTCGTCCTGATCGTCGACGAGCTAAATGTTTTGCTGAAGCCAGACAAGTCAGATGATGGCTATGCAGAGGTTGGCGCGTTCCTGCGGGAGCAATTCCTCGACCCTTCAGGCCGATACCTGATTTTCAGCACTCATGTTCCAACCGGCTTCGGCCTGTCCCATCTTTTGGGCAAGGGCTCAGGCAGCACTCGTACAGCAGAGACTATAGAGATGCCCAGGTCGCATGACATGCCGTCACTCAGGAGCATGGGCGAACAATGTGAGGCTTTGACTCCTTGCGAGGCTGCGTACTATGGACGAATACCATCCCTAATCTATTCCGTGAAGATGCCGCACAGCAGCTTCAACATACTGGAACGGTTCCAGGCAGTAGAATGTGGGGAACCAACACAAGCCTTGATCGCATCTTTTCTCTCAGAGTTCTTCACGGGTGTGCGGAGTGCAGACTCAGATCCAATACGAGCCTTCGACACCCTCACCGAATGCCCAGCCAGCGGACGGATTCGGTGGATCCTTGCATATGTGGGTCAAATGTGCTCTCACCTGGGATTGTCAGAAATTGCCGGTTGGGTCGACGAGATCCCCATGCTATCGGAAAAGGTCGATAGCTGCCTAGACTGGGAGGCCATCGTCCTGGTCGCGCTCAGCCTCCGATGCGTCCAGGCCAAGTACAACTATGTCCACCCGCTCTTGAATCTGCCAGAAGGTGCTGTGCCGGTCAAAGACGTTTTCCTGAAAAAAGTGCCACAGGATTGGTGCAAAACGCTGCCCGACATGGTGAAGTGGTGGAAGCAGAGGACCGTATCACCTGATGCATTCCCGTACATCGCAGTGTTGTCGCCAAACTTCGCAAAGACGGAGGTTGTTGACGCAGCATGGATCTACAAGCAAGATTCAGCGAGCAACTGCGTGGTGCGGGGCGTGCAAATGAAGCTGGGAAGAACTGTGCCAAGAATGCCACACGACATGCTTGGCTTGGTTATGAGAGGAAGAGCACCATCAATAGGCAAGCGGGCCGAGGGCTGGGTGTACCCGAGCTCAGGTGACATTCGTGATTTTTTGGGTGCTTCCTTGTCAGCCCTCTATCCTTCTGACTGGCCTCGTGCAGACGGAAGCTGATTTGTCCACGTTTTTCTCACTGCCGTGCTCGTTTCAAGAAGGAGCCCTGTAGTTCTACAAATCATTATCATAAGACTGTTTCACCCACAAGTCTGGAATTTAAACGGCGGGAAGTGGACAGTGTCGAAGAAGAAGGTGTTCAAGCCTGCGTGCTCAGTTTGGCAAGACTGCACCATGGAGCAAGCGTTTTGTGAGTGCGAGTGTTGGCAGGTGGAGGGAACTGCGGCTGGGCAAAGGCTCGTGAGATTGTGGAGCAATCGACCTAGCCTTCTTCGTACCAACAGCTCAGGCGGTCGCAACAACTTCGTGACGTCAGCGCCAGGCAGCTGGTGCCCGGTGAGTAGCCGGTTGTTGCCTTTGTTTGTCCTTTCTGGTATCGTGTGCTACAAGCTCGAATATCCACGGGCTGCGAGGGCCGAGCTGCGTTGGGAGCTGCGTTGGCGGCTGAGCTTGTTTGTGTGGGAGAGGGCTGCAGCAGGGACTGGTCACGGAAAGCAAGCCTTAAACTTTTCCTTCCTTCAACGCCAGATGCTTCCATCAAAGTTGATCCACCTGATGGGTGCTCGCAGGTTACTGCACACCTGCCACTGGATGAAAACTCGCTCACGAGGTCACCTTCATCTGCAGCGTGTGTCAGGGTTGGCAACTCAGAGCTCAGGCTGGGCCCTATGCGAGCATGAGGACTCACGTGATTCAGGGACCGACGCTGGTGGCACACTCATGGGTGAGAGGCCGTGAGTGGCTGTAGAACAGCGGCAGAGCGGTGGTGCGGGGGTGGGGCATAAAGGGCAGAGCTTGGGCTCATGCCGAACTCATGCGTAGCTCACTGGGCTGATCATTTGGGGTTATGTGGGGCTCATGCTTGGGCAGCTCATGCTGGGCTCATCTGGGGCTGACGCTGCATACTGGGCTCCTGCTGGACTCATGCTGATGCTGAGAAGGCTGATATGCCCGCCCGCAGATGCTCATCTGCATGCAGCCCTGCTGATGCTCATCCGCCCGCCCGCTGAGCGTCCATCCGCCCGCTGATGCTCGCAGATGCTCATCCACCCGCCTGCCATCCACCGTCGGCTGATGCTCATCCGCCTACCCGCTGATGCTCATCTGGCTCATCCACGGGCTGAATTGTAGCCTCTGGAGGCTGTCTGGCTCATTTACCCCGCTTACCTTTACCTCATTTGCCTTGCTGTGGGCAAGAAGCTGCAGCCGCGGGTGGAGGCACTGGAGAACTGCCGCAAGCTGCGCACTTCAACCCCGTGGCTTCCCCGGTTGCCCTAAATCCCGAACCCTTCGACCCGAACCCCTAGAACCCTAGCCCTACTAGGCTTCCTCGCATCGTCCCAGCGTGTACAGTGTGTCTGGTCGGCATGTTTTTTGATGCTACACGTGCTACATGTCATGTTGCATATGTAGCATGGGAAATCGGGGCCTTCGGGAGGGTCGGCGGTGAAGCCGAAAAACGTCAGGTAGCATATGTAGCATGGGAAATCGCGGCCTTTGGGAGGCTCGGCGGTGAAGCCGAAAAGTCAGGTAGCATATGTGTAGCGTGGGAAATCTGGGCCTTTGGTGGGGTCGGGCGGTAAATCCGAAGAGCCAGGTGGCATATGTAGCATGGGAAATCGGGGCCTTTGGGAGGGTCGGCGGTGAAGCCGAAAAACGTCAGGTAGCATATGTAGCATGGGAAATCGCGGCCTTTGGGAGGCTCGGCGGTGAAGCCGAAAAGTCAGGTAGCATATGTGTAGCGTGGGAAATCTGGGCCTTTGGTGGGGTCGGCGGTAAATCCGAAGAGTCAGGTGGCATATGTAGCATGGGAAATCGGGGCCTTTGGGAGGGTCGCGGTAAATCCGAAAAGTCAGTTCGCATATGTAGCATGGAAAATCGGGGCTTTCGGGGCAGTCGGCGGTAAATCCGAAAAGTCAGGTAGCATATGTAGCATGTGGGAGGGCCGGGGTGAAGCCCAGATCTCTTGGGGGATGGAGCTGAGGAGAGGTTGGGGTGGCTGTATGTTTATCTTTAATTATCCTATTCTATAATATAATATAACATAGTATAGTATAGTATAATATAACATAACATAACATGACATCACACAATATAGTATAGTATAATATAGTAATGTAGTATAATATAGTATAGTATTATACTATAATATACTGTACTATGCTATACTGTACTCTAAACGATTTATAGGAAGCAGAGCCCCTTGGCCGTAGCATCCCAATCATCCCTCCACAAACACCCCATCAATCTACGCGCTACTTATGCTACCTGACCTCCTTCGTTTGCTCCCCCGACAAACCCCCCCCATTCTACACGCTACATATGGTACGCGACAAGGACCCTCAATTCTACATGCTACATGTGCTACATGACTTTTTCGTTCGCCCGCCGCCCCGCCGGACCCCCGATTTTACATGCTACATATGCTACGCGACTTTTTCGTTTGCCATCCAGCCCCCGCCGGACCCCCGATTTTACATGCTACATATGCTACGCGACTTGTTGTAGTTTGCCATCCAGCCCCCGCCGGACCCCGATTTTACATGCTACATATGCTACGCGACTTGTTGTAGTTTGCCATCCAGCCCCCGCCGGACCCCGATTTTACATGCTACATGTGCTACGCGACTTTTTGTCGTTTGCCATCCAGCCCCGCCGGACCCCCGATTTTACATGCCTCACGATCCCTCGGCACAGCCCCCCACTCTACATGCTACATATGCTACCTGGCCTTTCTCGATTCCTCCACGCCCGGGCGGGAGCCGCCCCATTCTACATGCCACCTATGCTACCTGCCCTTTTTCGATTGCCCGGCAGGAGCCCCCATTTGACATGCTACCTATGCTACCTGCCCGTTTCGATTTCTTCCACGGGACCCCCAGTCCACGCGCTACCCGCGCTACCGGGGGTTTGGGGTTCTCGGACTCCCTGGTCCATGCGACTTATGCCTGCTTGTCATGTAGCATGTGTAGCATCCAAATCAACGTGCCTTCTTCTGTCCTGCTCGCAGGAGCCGAATCACCGGAACCCCCGGCATGCCTGGCATAGAGTTTTAGGGGTTCGGGCCAAAAGGCTCGGGATTTGGGGTAACCGAGGGACCCCTTGCGCACTCCGTGGCTCCGGCACCCGCTCAAGCACACCTGTGCGAGAGCTGCTTCATGTTTCAACAAAGTGCGACCCACGGCCTCGTCTCCTGCGCCGGGGTCGGACCGCCCGCCCCGCAAAACCGAGTGAGCCATATGCGCCTGCACGAGACATATAAGTGCAGCATGCAGAAACGACATGTGTGAAAGACACGCAGAAAGTCCCACATCCCTTGTGCACTTGCAACTTCCAGGACCTCGACCCACCCTCGCCGCAACCCTAAAGCTAGGAATTTATGACCGTCTCGGGTAGATGTGACCCCGCTTGCTAGGAGGGGCTCCGGCTACTCAGGCGCCGGCTGCTTCGTCAAGCGCAGCCAGCCCCGGGCGTTGTCTTTGTAACGCAGATAGTAGCCGCGAGCGCAATGCACGTGCTTCAGGCACCCGGTTGGCGGTTGTCACGTTGTCGATGGCGTTGCTGGCGAAGCCCTAGAATGCCTTACTGATCTGATCTCCGTCTCCTTCGCTGGCCTGCTTGAAATCGTCCAGCAAGTAGACGAAGTCCCCGGCAGTGAAGCTCGCGAAGGCCTCCTTGACGAGCTCAGGTTGCGGCTGCATGGGAGCACCGAAAGGCTCCTCATACACTGCTGAAGCGACCAGGGTTGTTGGTCGAGAACTGAAAGACACCGGAGCCTTGTACAAGCCCCGGCAAGAGCTCCAGGTCGTTGGTCGCGCCACAACTTCAGCGTCTTGCTCTTGATCTGGAGTGTGTTACCTCCGATTCTGGGATGCTCAGCACCCTCCTCGCTCTCACCCGCAAGGCCTCCGGGTTGGCAGAAGCAACGTTGAAGTTGGTAGTGACAGGCTGAAGTCCGGTTCGGCATGATAGGAACCCAGCACCTCATCGATCACCGCTGTGAATACCCTCTTGCCATGCCCTCCGCCCAGCAAGTGACCCCTGTCCAAGAACTGCTTCCAATCAGACCGCTGGCCTCGAACTCGCGGAACTCCTTTTCGGGGAAGGGCATGCCTGAGCATCGCGTCATGATCAGATCGGGCTCGCAACGCTTGATCTCGTGGCTGTCCTCGTCCACGACCCAACCGTCGGCAAAGAGGAAATACGTCCTGGTCTCCTTCGCATCCATGTTCAGGAGCTGCTTCATGAGTGCGGTGACCGCGGCGGTCATTCCCTGGGATCGAGCAATCCAGTTGGGCAGGCGGTCCTCGTTGTTCTCTGTTCAGGTCGTTTTTCCAGACCCCTCGACGAGCTCGGTAAGCAGCTTGAGCAACACCGGCTCCGTCTCCCCTTCGGTGTGAAGCACCCAGCTGGGACCAGGTCGCCACGGTACTCGCTCCCATGCACTGTCACCGGCTTATGCGCAAGCAGCTCCGACAACAGCAGCTCGGGGCACTCCTTGCTGGACATCATGAACTGCCCGAGATTCACACGTTTTTGCTCTATCCGGAGATCTGTACTCCTTGATCGCCGTCTTGACCCCGACATCCTCAGCCGTTTTCACGAGCCCGGCCTTCCACTCCGCCGTCGCGGCCGACGGCGGCCGCAGCTCCATCTGGATGCCTCACAACGACACCGTCGTGCTCGATCGAGACTACGATGCCTAAGTCGTCCTCTTGCACGCTCGAACCGCTAGCGCAGCGCCTCCATTAACGTGGCCTCCGGGAAAGGCTTGCCTGTTCCGGAGCTTCTTGATCAGGGCGGGATGCTCCGCCGCCACTTTATTGCGGAGCGTCTTCTGCTCCTCCACAAAACCCAAACATCTTCACCTAGCCGCGACGCGTGCAAGAACTGGCGCCGCGCAACTGCGGCCTGGTGGACCTGGACTGCGTTATAGCTGCGCGGCCACGATGCAGCTGCAGAAGTGGGGCGGCGAGGTGGATGGCCAGAAGCAGCTCCCTGCTTGAAGCGCTGGGTGGAGGGTTCGCCGAGATGAGCGGCAAGGACGGATGCCCTCGTCGTCCTCCGCTTCATCCTCGTCGGCCTTGGCACCCTCCTTCTTCGGCTGCTTGGCGCTTTTGTCATTCCGCTTCTTCTTGGCATTCTTGTCCGCGTCTTCCGGCTTGTAGAGGGCCTTGATGCCGGAGCGACGCCTCCGAATCCACTCGATCACCCTTAGGTCGGACTCCCAGTGCGGCGGTGTCATGCCTTGGCTCACCTGACGCGGCTTCTCGCTTCTGCAAGAACTTGAAGAGGATCGTAGTTGATGAGCTTAACCAGGATGAAGCTGGCAAACTTCGCCACGGGGCCAGGGACCCTTGCCTGCAGCGTTTCGATCTTTCTTCAATGCATCGGCATCTCTGGCTCCGGCTCCCCACGGTCAAGCTTCAAGGCCTTCTCCTGGTTCATGTTCAGCATCTGGTCGAAGCGACTGCTCGATCACGCCAGACGCGGCCGTACTGCAGCAGGCCCAGGTCGCGGCCCTTCTTCGCCTGCGTGCTCAGGTTCATGAGCTGCAGCTCCACCTTGTCCTTCTCAGCCCGCGTGCGGCCCACCGCCTCGGTTTCCACCGGCGGATCCTCCCCCATCTGCTCCTCTTCTTTGGCTTCATCGTAGAGCTCCTCCAGCTCACGCTCAAGCACATCCGATCCTGACGCAGCCACTTGGCCCAGAAAGGCGTCCAACAGCTGAACTGGCATCGTCCTGATCGACTGCCCCCATCAAATCTGCAGCGAAAGTTTCCGGGCAATCGCAGCCCTGCAGAGACCGTATCTGGACCATCTCGTAGGGATTATCAGCTGTCCGAAGGTGGTCGTGCGCAAACATCTTCACAGCGGGGCTCAGGCAGAAACACCGTTCAGCATCCATGTAGGGGGCCTGTCAAAGGATGCATTGTAGAGCTAGGGTGATGCGATGATCGGCAAGCCTCCAGCTGGAGCTCTGCCCCGGCTCCGTGATCTCCGCCATTGGCTCATCTGCCTGGTCGAGGGGCTGCGCGCCCAACTAACGCAAGTACCGAAACTAGCCCTGGACTGGCTCAAGGGAGTCTGCAACCCATACGTTGTGCCAGCACCGCAGCCGAAAATGGCAAAGCGATACGTCCCGGACGCAAACACAGCTCCGCCCCACCTAGCACATTGAATCGCGAAGGTATGGTCTTGGATGGTCTTGGCAGAGAGGCTTCCCGGTCAGAGAACTCTCGTAAACTGCTGTCCTGGCTTCAAAGGTGCGACCTACGACCCGACCTTGCGACGCAGTGAAGGAGCTGTCACTGGTGACAATGGGTGCGGACTGCTTCAAGGAGCCATCGACCCGACGGCGGATACAGAGAGGAGGCTCGTACCCAAAGCCATGTCACTTGGCCTCGGCTTCGAGCCTAAGGCCGACGTAAAGCAGGCACGAAGCGAAAACGGAACTGCAACCGTGCTCGGCTGCTCGACTTGCCCTGCTAACTCGATCGGCATCTTACCGATTTGTTTGGCCGCTCTGCACTGTCAGGAATTCCCCCATGTCAAGAGGCTGACGGAAGAAATAGAACAGGTAACAAGGATATACGCAGAAACTCTCAAAACATCAACGCAACCAAATCAAATCGAGCGATTCGAACATCTGGGCACAAACATTAACAGTAACAGTGTCTCCCTAGCTCACCACAGCTCTTCCACATAACGCTGCTCTGTCTTTAGCCTTTCAAGGTAATCTGCGCTGCCCAGCGCAAGCTCTAGCTCGTCGCGAACCTGGAAGGCGTGATGCCATCAAAACACACCGTTGACGGACCTCAGGGCGGGCTAGGCACTGGGCCTGCTTGCCCATGCTGGTGGCGCCACATACGTAGATGTAGCCACCGTCTGCTATCATCTGTTTCACCTGCCAGTAACATCTGCCCCAGCCGAGCCTGGCAGAACAAGTATGCGCTGCCTCTGCTGACTTCTCCTTCAGCTTGTGCTGTACATACACCTTCCATGCTGCGTCAACCAGATCCGACGGCAAACGAGTTTCTCTCTGCATCAAGCACCCTCGGCTCCTTCTCCTTCTGCTCGCGAGAAAATGCAGTTATCAACTCCTTGAGTGCCGGCGGCTTCATTTCCACAGCCTCGCAAAG